TTGCCACCTAAGACGACTCTACTGGCAACATATGACGCACGCTCCCTGAGGACTGACGAGAAGATCCTGGAGCTCGAACAAGAGATAGACAAATTGCGCTGGAAAGGGGCAAGACATGGTAATCCTCGAATCCGGCAACTTATTCTGTCACCGGGAGGTCGACCATCTGTCCTAAGGAGGTGTCGGATTTATCGTCCACAAGTCGCTCGTTAACAACGATGTAAAGATTAAGAGTGTGTCGACGAGGGTTACGTACCTTATACTCATAATCACTAAACGATATTCGCTGAAGGTCATACAGGTTTACGCACCAACCTCAGCACATCCCGATAAGGAGGTGGAGGAAATGTATGAAACCATCTCTAAAGCCATGCATTCATCCAATACCCACTATACGGTGTTAATAGGAGACTTCTGCGCAAAACTAGGCACAATATAGAACGGTGAGCTGAAGGTAGGGAAATTTGGAATAGGGCAACGGAACCCCAGGGGCCAGCAGCTGGCCGACTTCATGGAGAAAGAGGGACCCTTTATGATGAACTCTTTCTTCCAGAAGCGGCCCTACAGGAAGTGGACCTGGTCGAGCCCCAACGGTTCGACAAACAATGAGATTGACTTCATTATGACGACCAGACTACAACTGTTCGGTGATGTCTCAGTGATTGCAAGGGTGAAAACCGGCAGCGATCACCGAATGGTGAGAGGCACACTAAACCTAAACGTTAAGTTGGAGATGTCACGTCTAATGTAATCAACGCTCCGTCCCCTTCGTGCTCTAAGCCAAAGTCCCGAAATCTTTCAGCTTGAGCTACAAATTAATTTTCAGTTGCAAGAAGATTGTAATGCAGTGGATTATATGAATGACAAGCTCGTGGAAACTGTCCATGTGATCGGAGATAAGTTTTACAAGACCGACCGCAGAAGATCACACTTTTAATCTGTTAGACGGGAAATGAAGCTGCAGTCTTCACCAGATATGACAGCGTACAAGCAACTGAATAGACAGATCTCCAAATGCATGCGGTGGGACTCAACTTCAATACAACAAGATTGAAGAAGCAATCGAACAGGACCAGGGCTCCAAAGTCCGTGAGATTTGTCTGCCAGAAAGAGCCAACTGTCAAAGCTGAAGACCGAGTGTGGTAGCGTCGTTTCCGGGACACCTGAGATTTGAGTGAGAATTAAGAGTGAGATTACGAGTTTCTTGTACACATCATAGTTGGTGCCACACGCAAGTGTGAGTAACGATCGAAGAGCAAATCTTATCTGACACTATTCCGATGATATTATGGACGTCAGCATGAGCGAGATCAGAATGGCTCTCCAGCACCTTAAAAGCGACAAGACCCCAGTCGACGATGAAATCACAGCGAAGCTTCTGAAAGTGGGTGAAAAATCGGTGCTTAAAGTTCTTCAGAAGCGATGTAATCCCGTCCTCCATGGTGGCACTACACCAGAGGCGTGGAGCAGAAGTGCAGTGTTCTTGTCCTTCAAGAAAGGCGACAACTCTCTTTTGAAGAACTACAGACCGATTTCCCTTCTGAGCCGCGTCTACGTGCTGTTTTCGAGAGTCATTACGAATCGTCTCGCACGCAGACTCGACGACTTCCAGCCTCCCGAACAAGCCGGTTTCCGAAAAGGCTTTAGCACTATAGATCACATACATACCCTATACAGAAGTAAGTGTCAAATTGTATTCCTCAAATACAATTTGACACTATTTCTGGCGTATGTGGACCATGAGAAAACTTTTGATTCCATTGAAATCTGGGCAGTGCTGCAGTCCCTTCAGCGGTGCCAAGTTGACTGTTGGCATATCGAAGTGCTGGAGTGTTTGTACAGTAGGGCTACGATGGCTATCCGAGTACAGAATCAGAGTACGAAACCTATCCAACTGCAGAGGTGTATGACGTTTTCAAGCTACTGGACTGAAAAGGATACGGTATTAATATCAACGGCGAGTTCATCACTCACCTTCAATTTGCCGACGATATAGTTCTTATGGCAGAAACGCTGGAGGACCTAAGCTCTATGCTCAATGACCTCAATAGTGCCTCCAAACAGATAGGTCTTAAGATGAACATGGACAAAACAAAGATCATGTATAACGTCCATATCACACTTATGCCGGTAGTTGTTGGGAGCACTAAGCTCGAAGTTGTTGATGAGTATGTTTACCTGGGACAAATAGTCCCCCTAGGTAAGTCCAACTTCGACCGAGAGGTCAATCGACGGATTTAACTCGGCTGGGCAGCGTTCGGGTAATTACGGCACATCTTATCATCAGGTATACCTCAAAACTTGAAAATGAGACTGTACAATCAGTGTTTGTTGCCAGTAATGATCTATGGAACTGAGACGTGGTCCTTCAGTGCGGGCCGGATGAGGAAGCTCAAGTTCGCTCAGCGAGCTATGGAGAGGGCTATGCTCGGAGTTTCTTTGCGTGATAAACTTAGAAATAAGGATATCCGTGGTAGAACCAGAGTGATCGACATAGCCCAACGGATTAGGAAACTGAAGTGGCAATGGGCCGGCCATATAGCTCGAAGAACCGACAACCGATGGGGAAAAAGGTTCTTGAATGGCGGGCTCATACCGACAGACGAAGTGTTGGGCGTACCCCCACTAGATGGAGTGACGACCTGGTAAGACATGCAGGAAGTTGATAGATGAGGTGGCTGAGCACCGTGCTTTGTGGCATTCCTTGGGGGTGGCTTATGTTCATCAGTGGACTTGTGAAGGGCTGTAATGATGATAATGATGATGAAACTTGATTCACCTGTTTGAAGGTAAAATTAAATTTTCATTTACAATTGGATTCGGGTCGACAGTTTAGGTTGGAAACTAAAAGTAGTTTTTAGAAATAAAACCAAAAGCTTCTGCAGAAAGTAAACTATTTATTTTTATAAGAAAATACAAGTCCTGTTGACGAAGTTCACCTCAAGTGCATGCGCCTCGTTTTAAAATATAAATATCTGTAACAAAAGTAGCATCTTGTAATAGAACTATAATTTCCAGATGTGGCGAAGTAAGAACAATTTCATATATTACCACATACATATTTACAAGCTTATACCATACACATACACACACGCACGCACGCCCGCACACGCACACACACTCTGTGCGTGTGCACACACACACAATCTTAATCATGTTCGTGTAAAATTATTGTTCAAAATTGACACCATGTGAAGATATTTTTAGTTACACTGCCTTTACTAAAAAAAAATCCTTTTTTATTTTTTTGTGATGGCCTGAATAAATATTTTGTAAACTATATACAATCTAAAATTAAAAAAAAAACAATTGCCTTAGCTTAAAAAAATCGCTTATTTGCCCAACCATATACTGTACACTATTAGTTAGTTCAACTTTAACTCACAGTCTTGAAAAAATTGTAATATACATTAAAATTTCGTAAATATACTGAGATGCCGTCAATATACTTATTTCATTAAATTTTTCTCTAAATGTCTCAATCGGACTGAAGTTATAAATTGTTCTTATGGCTGTCTTCTGCAAAACTAAGACGGTTTTAATGTCAGTCGCATTATCGCATAGCAAGATTCCTTATGATTATATACCTAAATTATGCTATGAAATAACTAAAATAAATTAATCTAGGTGTTTCAACACATTTAAGGCTTCAAATCTTTTTTTACACAACAAAAGAATAGTGAAAGATGATTTCTAATACCATATGAGAGACCCGAATGCTTCAGTAATTGGAATTGAAGCGAAAACAGGAGTGCCTAAAAGTACAATACAATGAAATTAACTGAAAAAATAGCTCCACCCTTATCATGTACAACGAGTATATAGTCTAATACCGGAGCTGTCGCCTTTTTTGAGATCGGATAGGGAAAAGCTGTTTTTCAATAGTAACCAAAGTAAAAGTACCCAAGAAAACGCTTAAAACGGCCAACTCTGAATCCTCCAGTACAACTGGAGATATTTATTATTTTAGATATTTGACTCGTAGATAATCAAGGCACTTAGCTTTGCATAAACTAGACATCCGACATTCAGCACCCACATTTCTGGATGGTCGGTGGTGAGGTTCTTGGCACCCAAAGTCGAGATGGACAAAAAAAATCCTAAAAGATTGGCTTTCTACGTTGCGGCGTCGGTCAACGAGTCATCCTCCCTGTGCAGTCTCTATTGAAATTATAATTTTTTTTTTATTTCAATAGCCCCACTTATTATCGCTAGTAGGAATCGATGTTCTTTCGTTAGGATTTGTGGTCTATCCAATCTGATGTAATGGTGGGAACATTTAGGTAATGATCACAAGCTACAGACTTCCCGATGTTTCACGTCATCGATATGTTGTTTTATGTGGGTTCTTACAGAGCGTTTTGATTTTTAATGCTTGGGATCCTATGATTAATAAAATTAAAACTAAACTCAAGAATACCATTGCAAGAATTCAAGTGACACTAATTTTATTCTACGTAGATCAGACCAAAAGTAATCCAAGTTAACTTTGACATCGGAACTTCAATCACATCAGTTCCCACGTGACCATGGGTGATACAAAGCGCTCGAGAAGTCGGAAATTAAAAATAAGTAGACTTAAACGCGATAAAATTCATCAAAGTAGTTTTATTCAATTTGTTGTGTTCGCGTAAATGTAAGAAATCATTATTTTTTATATTTGATTTTTATTAAAAATTGTCATGCGCTAAAATAACAAAGCTTTCAGACAGAAAAGTGATATTACGTACAATTTTTGATAATAATTGAATTCTATAATAAGCAATACCTATTTGCTAATTACTAAAATCTAAAAGCGGTGGTCACACAGCATTTTTTGGATTTGTCAAATCACTATAATTTCAAAATAAAGAAAATATTCTCTGCCGCCCAACTTTCTACGCCACGCCCACTACCCACAGTCCGCGCCCTCAGGTCTTTGGCCTATTTAGTCTGTAGTGTAAAACTGGCGTGAAGCTTACAATTCTAATAACTTTCTGCGCTTACAATGATAAAAGTAATTACTTACTAATCCCACAATTCCGTGCACAGATGAATTTTTCTTCATTGAAGAATGTCACATTGTTAGAACCGCATACAGGGCTATAAGCCGAAGACGACTCACAGTCCTGAATACATTGCTTTTGAGATGGTGTTTCCGAACTGAAAAATAATTTACGATTTGTTCAGAATTAAAAAATTACATGAGTAGTAAGATAATAATAATTTTTAAGTCCGAAACCGCCACGTGAAGACCCCTCTCCTTGCTCCTTTCAGTGAATTTAGTATTCGACCATATTTTGGCCGTCTGGCAGAGGGGTCGCGCCCCGCTATACCAAAATTCTTCTTTCCTGTGGCTTCTTCTCTACTGCGGAGGGAGGAGGAAGGTTGCCAATATACTTGTTACTTGGCATATTTTTTTTATAAGATAGGGTGACAAACTAGCACACAGTCCACCTGATGGTAAATGGTTGCTGTAGCCCATAGACATCTACATGTATCCTTGTTTGGGAATTAAAATTCAGATGCGTTGTAAGCCGTGATGACTAAGATGGAATGCCTCTTTTCCAGTAAAAAAGGTCTCCGGTTCTCTGCACTCCCCACGTAGCACGTATATAAGATCTTTATAACCAAAAGAGATTTTTTCAGGTTGGTTCAACAGAGGAAAGCTAAAAAATCTATGAAAAATACTCCAAAAAATTTAGCATAAATTTTTATCAATGTAACCTTATATAAAATAAAGTATAATAATACATAACATTGAAAAATATACAATATTAAAAAACTATAATAAAAAAACACCTAAAACTAATAACTTAAATTATTATACAATCCTGCTCCAGTACAGTATCACGACTGTTTCCTCGCTGCGTGGCTATACTTAGCCTTTGAGTGAGAAAATAACCAGCCCTCTTATCACCAGCAGCGACGACCAATCGCGGATAGAGTTCCTTAAGGAATTTAACAGCACGTGAAACCTTATGTTATATTGTTTATAACTTTACATGTTTTTTGAATTTCTCATAAGAAAAAATATTCAATTTTAAGCGTTTGTTTACCATATGCAATTCATCGTGAGAAAAACTGTCCAAGAAATAAAAATATTTCGAATATTTGCACGCATTCTCAGAAAGGAGGGAAAGCATTTTGAGTGACAATCTGATAAGACATGCAGGAAGTCGATGGACCGAGGACCATGCTTTGTGGTGTTCCTTGGGGAAGGCCTATGTTCAAGAGTGGACTTGTGAAGAGCTATAATGATGATGATGATTATTGTTATGACTGTCGTGTTTTAGCATCTGTGTGTATGAATAATGATTTCTTATATTATGCTTGAAACGTCGGGAAAGTAAAATAAGTTAATATACGCGATAAAATCCGTAAAATTAGTTTTATTTAAATGTGTGTATGAAATTATTTTGTTACTACTTAACGAACCTGGTAGTAAAAACCACTCGATCCGGATTGATTTCAGTCGTCGATATGAGTATAGGTAGTCCTAAAATTGCAGTTGGTTCTGTGGTGGCACTACCTTCATCGTTTTTTTCAGGTTCATTTTTTAAATGCTGAGGTTCTTGATATTCTATTGGTAGTGTAAGTTTATTGTTGGGTTTCACTGATGGTTCATTTAAATTTAAAAAAATATGTTTTCTGGTATCACCGTAAAAATAATCATGATCTACAACTGGATTTGTATTGAATCTGTTTCCTTGCCCATTGTTAAAAAAAATGCTTAGAGGAGGATATTGATAAGGCCCGTTTCGAAAGTTCTTCAAATCATCTTCAAAAACCAAAATTTCAATAACTTCTTTATGTGGAGGATTTGCGATATTTTCCTGATAGGCATTTCTTATTCCGTGGTTCGGATAATAGATCCCAACCTGAAAGGCACATCTGATCATTAATAATATCACAAACAAATGATATTATTGTTTTGGTGTACACGTAATTTTAAAATTCATAAAGCTGTATGTTCCTAGTATATTATAGTATATCGCTATTCTTCCAATGACTGAAGTTGCATTTTATTTCTAAAAAAACTGATTTGGGTGAAGGCGGTAGTAGCAAAAGGGACTCCATCACTTCATCTCGTCACGTGGGTGTTGTAATGGTTAATTAGGAAAATACTCAAACCTTATGGACATCAAAGAATAGCAGTAGAACGATACAATACAATACAATACAATACAATACAATACTCTTTATTGTACACCAAGAAAAGATAAAAACATCAAAAATAAAAAAATAAACAACTATTGAGGGAAATACAAAGGGCGGTCTTATTGCTACATAGCTATCTCCTCCAGACAACCCAGAAGAAGAAATATATAAAAATAAGAAAAAGAACGTCTAATAGGTAAGTACTAAGTACTGGAGATTCTACTTAATAATAGAATAGGCGTGGTTAGCAGTGTAGTGCTGTTAAGGAGTGATAATAGTGTAAAATCATATTTTAGACATTGCTGCATTATTAAAAAAACAGTTAACATAAAGTTAAAAATTGATTTGTAAAGTAAAAATAAACAAGATAGCTTTTTTTATCTTATATAAGAATAAATCGAAATTTAAAACAACTGAGTACATCTAGAAGCAATTTATGTAGGAGTTAGAACAACTAAAATCACCTCAGCGTTAGTATAAAATTGTGAACTTCTTGGGTAATTACTTAACGGAGTCCCGGAAACTCCCTTCACTCCGCTTAAATTGAAGCCCGGGCCAGACTTACCCGCAAAACCTATTGAAAAGATAAAATAATCGATTACCTATAGGCGACACATCTAAAATAAATATTCTTATTTTATGTTCGTAGTTTTATCACTTGATGAAACACCATTGATATTATTATGGAAAGTACAATTATGATTTTTTAATTGTCCAAATGCATTGCATTGTAGGAAAACAAAATTAAGCTCTGAGTCGTTCACGGTGAGACTTATTTAATAATATGAGTTATTAAAAATTTACTATGAAACAAAAATATTTTTGTCGATCATTTCTAAACATAATGGTTTTAGTAGCGAATATTTAATGTGCCTGAATAACGTTAACCCAAAAATCTTAAAAATAAATGTATACGAATTATAGTTAAAAAGATATTAAATATAATTTTTTGAATAAACTAATGATTTATGCTTCGAAATACATTTTAAAACACTTACCAACTATGTAAAGAAATAAAAATGCGAATACTATGTTCCCTTTCATTGCTAACATTGTGTGTTCTGACAATTATATTCAAACAAATCACAAAGAAAAATAACCTTATTTCAATACTTTAATAAGGTTAGTAAGCAACAGCATCGCACTATTAGATTCTACTAGAGGTCGTTTGTCTGTGTTATACGTAATGCCTTCATATGATACATAATTTATTTAAGCATATTAAATTGCGGAAACTGGTTTATAACGAAGCTACTGACTGGATAATGGTTGAACACAATATATCGAAAGGATTTTAAAAAAATACGCGCTTAGTAAAATGAGATGAAGTTGATTAACGATCCGTATTTACTAGTTTGATCAATAAGTTTTCGGAATAGGACATATTCTCAAAATTCTCTAAATCATTTTTTCGAAATCTTAAATTCGTTAGTAGCCAAGGCCAAAAAAAATTAAACTAAAAACTATACCCAATTATTTTTTAAAACTACTCATTTGGCGGGAGTTCGATTCGTATGCAAAACGGAGAACTCGAACTTCGTGCGATTATTAAATATTTCTGCCTGAAATTTTTTTCTACACAAAGTGTTTTTGAAGAACTGCAGTCTACTTTGGCAAACAATACTCCGTCTTATTCTACAATAGAAATAGAAACAGAAACTTTTTTTACTCAATATAGATTATAAATGTTACTTATTGAAAGTCACTCTTTTGTTTAATTACCACTGGTTCGAAAAGAACCTCTATCCTGGGAAGAACCAGCAAGAAACCCAGCGGGACTTTTTTTTTAAATAACAGCTTACAATCATGTTACACAACACAAAAAATTAAATATGGCTTTGTAGCGGTCACCTCATTTCCAGGGGTTATTATCATCCATACATTCCTTATATTATAATAACCCTTTTTATACAATACACACAGTGGTAGAGCCACGCGGCAGCTTTTGCTGTCGCACGGATGGGCCGGCTCGAACCGGGGTAGTACCACGACCTCACAGAAAACCAGCGTGAAGTAGAGGTTTACCTCTGCGTTTCGCTTGGTCAGTGCAGGTGGCCGGAGGCCCTTTTTACTGGAAATGAGGCATTCCATCTTAGTCCTCACGGGTGACAACGCATCTACATTTTGATTTGTAACAGAGGATAGATGTAGATGTCTATGGGCCGCAGCAACCACTTACCATCAGGTGGACTGTGTGCTCGTTTGTCACCCTTATCCTATAAAAAAATTAGTTTATTAAATTTTTTGAACTTTGAGCAGGTCAAATTTTATATATTTTCTAGAATTTTGTTGTAAAAACGTATGAGTCGTGTAACTATTACTACTACAGACACAAATGTGTTCGTAGTATTTACAGAATGAATATCACTTTTTTTTCTAAAACTACTTTTATTTTACATTACATTTTCATAAATATATTGAGAGGCCAAAATTAATATATTAATTTCCTTAAAGGAGATGAACTTGATTCCATACAAGCTTGGGCCCGGCGTGAACAAACTTAAAATATGTGTTAGTTTGAAAATTTAAATATTTGATACTTATATCCAAAAATCATATTTTTGCCGGGCCTGGGGTTTTTTGTTTTTATTTTGTTTTATGATTTCTAGGTTATGTAGTAAAATCACTCGTTCTTGTGATAGGTTGTTTGAATAAATTGAAAAAACACAAAAGAATGCAGTTTTGTAGTTATTATTATATAAAATAAAATAAAACTCAACCTTTTTAAATTGTTTAACTATTTTCTCATCAAAAAAACAGGCCGTACATTGTCTGTTCTATTCCTCTCAAAACTTAAGTCGCTGCAAAGTGGTCGCCTTGGCTGGGGCCCATAGCAGCCAGCTCGATGAGCAGACGCGGGTCTGGCCCAAATGGCCATATGGAAGAATGTCCTATAATACTAAACTGAAGGGATAAGGCTAGAAAATATAGTACTTACCTGTTTCCGACTCTAAGATCGCACCAACGCTCGGTCAGGCCGTAAGTGGGTGTAAGGTGAATGGCAAGTAGTGTGCAGTGATGTGTAAATGTCTGAGACCTGGACCAGTTTAGGCGACCAGCAGCGGCTGAGTTCCAGGCTGCCCCACAATGCTGCATCGCTCCAGCAGGCTCCACCGCTGGACCATTTCTTTCTTCATTGTCACTATATCAGTCTATTAGCTTCATTGTACATTTAACTAACTTAAACTCGCCTAATTCTACATTCATCGTAGAATCGAACACGTGATACCCGACACAGTAAGGACAGTCGTTTAAAATTCGACATTCAATGTCCCGGATTCACTTATCACAAAATTATAAATAGGGAACTAACGCGATCTCTTAATGAGTCATACGGTTCAGCGTTAAACACAACTAAGTTCCTTCATTCGACACCAAAACACCACGTCGCGAAAAGAATTCAAAATACGCCTCGTTGACACGTAAACTAACAAACCAACCAACACACAAAAAAAGGCACTTAACGCAACGGCACAATTATAATGATTTCCAGACAATCAACCGGGAGACGCTCTTGACCAAGGAATGCGCGGTTCGAATCCTAGACCGTAAATCTACTCGACGCGCGCGTGCACAATTCTGCATCACCCGAACAAGTTAAATATTGCAAAATTCACATATCTACGTAGCGAAGTAACACGCACTAAAAAAAACTATCTGGACCCTACGCGGCCGCGTGAACTTCGGCCGCGTGAACTTCGGCCGCGATAATCGAGATACGCGGATTCACCGCATCGCGGCCAGCGAACTACTCTTCAACGCCCACGCGTCGAGCCACTGCAAGCCGCACACGGCCGCCCAACCTGGCGGCGTTTTTTTTTCACCTACATAACATCGGGTGACGCGCCAGCTCGAACGCAATTGGATGGCGTTCAAAAATGACCAAATTTGGGCATAAACAACATTATTTTCATTATATGGGCGCAACACACTACTGTCCTGTGATCCGAGAGAAAATCCAAGAGTCAAGTTAAATTAATCCACGAAAGTAAAAAAACGAAAACTATCCAAAAAACAGCTACAATGCCAAATGCGCATGCCGCATGAAAAGCTGAAACTTGAAGGTACCAGGTTAAGTCTCTAAGAATATGCAATGATCAATAACAATACAGCCTATTCAGCCGTGTAGGGTAATATTCAAATGTTTTTTGATTTAATAACATAGCCTATTCAATCGTTTTCTAAATATATTATTTTATTCAATATTAATACCTACAGATTCGCGTCAATGTTTCAATATTATGATTTTTTTTTTGGTAAGGAAGGTTATTTTATTTTAAAAATATCCTTCATTATCTATTGCCATAGACAGAACAGAAAGATATTTAAAAACGTTTCGTTTTTGCTAAAGCAAAAGCATTAGTTTTCTATTTCAGTTTTTAAAAAAATGTTTTTATGGTTGTCCCAAGGACTACAGAAATAAAAACCATTTATTTATGCTTATAATTTATCGTTATATTAGCTACATATTTTTGTATAACTTTTACGAACGATGTCAATAACCCAATTTCATACATCTCCTTTTTGTTGTAGCGACTATTTAGGCTTTAAATCATAAATTGCTCTTATGGCCCTCTTCTGTAAAACAAATATAATTTCAGTATCAGCTGCGTGTCCCCATAGAAAAATACCATACGACATTATGCTATGGAAATAGCCAAAGTAAACTAGTCTAGCTGTTTCAACACTGGTAAGATTTCTAATCTTTTTACAGCATATGCTGTAGAACTAAGTCTGCTTGCTAGTTTTGAGGGGCTCCATTGAAGCTTCGTGTCTAATGTGATTCCAAGAAAAATGGTGGTATCTACAAGACTCAATTTTTCCCCATTTAAAATTACATTAGTATTTAATTGTTTGACATTTGGAGTCATGAATTTCATACATTTCGTTTTAGTGCCATTTAAATGCAAATTATTAACATTGAACCAATTTACTAATTTAGATATAGCATTATTTACTTCGTCATATTTTAGTAACTGTCGACTTAATTTGAAAATTAAAGAAGTGTCATCAGCAATTAATACTATATCATGGTTATTCCCTACTATGTAAGGTAAGTCATTAATGTATACAAGAAACAGAAAGAGGCGGAGAATTGAGCCTTGACGCATGCCCATTTGTACTATCGACCCGGAAGAGCTCATACTGTTAATGACAACTTTTTGCGTTCTGTTACTTAAATGTGAAATAATTAATTTAAGAACATCACTTCTTACACCGTAGTGTTGAAGTTTTCTGATTATTGTTTCATGGTGAACACAATCGAAGGCCTTGGATAGGTCACAGAATATACCCAAAGCATCCTGTGAATTTTCCCATACATCTCTGGCATACTGGTGCGCTGAATTTAAACGCCACTACCATTTCGAGACGGCGAAGCTGGCCTTACTCTTTCTAACCAAGACGCAGGTGTCCTCTACGGCTGATACTTCGTATCTCTCCTACCCGCGGTACAAATTAAAACACTCCTTTGTGTCTTGGGCTGTAGTTTGCGTATACGTCAGAGAGGACATCCGTTCTCTACGTCTGGGCAATCTTGAAGGTTGGGACTTGTCCATCGGCGATGACCATCCGCGTATCTACGGGTGCCTCTGTAGGTCCCATAGTTGTAATGCCGAAACAGACCGACTCATCGACCACGTCCAAATGGCTACAGATTCCTTGCTATAGGAGATCTCATTCGCAAAGATAGTGATGCTTATCCACCCACGCCGAATGGCTCGGTTCACGTTTAACGGATCATGCGGGGAGATCTGTTCATGATTTTTTCTTGGCATATGGTCTGACACAACTGGTTTCTTTGTCTACGCGGACTCCAGATGTTGAGGATCATGCAATTTCCCTGTTGAATCTTCTGCTGGCCTCTTATCCGGACAGATATCAAGCCTCCGTCGACGCCCCTCTTGGCTCCTCGAACCATTGTATAGTTCGCAGTGAGATACCACTCACTCTGAAATCGCGGTTTCATTTTGCAGGCTGCCGCCGTCTTTGACACTATAGGTCGGCCGATTAGGATAGGATGTGGTCTTTCTTTACATCCTACCCTTGGGAGC